AAATTCATCGACAGCTCAACAGCATCTATCACATTCAAGAAATAAGCCCCTGGTTTGATGATAGTTTGTATGGTGAACTCTTCTCCAATAAATTTGGACATAGATTTTCTCAAACCATAATCTATTTCGTCATATAAAATGAGGATTTTTGGGATTGGAATGAACACCCTGTGATTCACTTCGGAAGTGGCTGTTGATAAATTCCCAATATTGGCCATTTTTCCTCTAACAATTGCCCGTGTTTCATTCTTCTTGGTTTCTGGCGGGTATTCATTATCACTACCTTCCTCAAAAAGGACCACCTTTTGCACTGAAGTTTCCTGGGTCCTTATATTTGCCTGGGTTGAGACATTTTTCACATTTTGAACTGTTTGTGTGACTTTGTATCAGTGCATTTACGAGTTTTGTCCTGTAACATATTCCGTGTGTATCTCATTATTTGCACTAGTGATTAACTCTTCTTGTTGTTTGATAATTTCGTTCAATTCATGTTCCCTTGTTTGAACATATGAGAATTCTTATTGTTACGTATGTATCTATTAAATTAGTTATTGTTTAACGACTTTATTGGGAGAGTAGATTATTGGCTTTCCAATACTCCATCTTAATAAAAAAAATGTAGTAAACTTCTAAAGGAAGGAGGAAAGCGATTTCGTCCAAAATAAGCTATGTGTAGATCATAGAAGTTACTTTCACGTGAACATTGAATTATATAAAAATAACTTTTTCCAATTGAGTGTATACTCCTAACATTCGTTCTCGAAAGAGATATCATTCATAAGAACGATACACAATACAATAATATAACAGTTGGGCTGAAAAGTTAATAGATTGACATATAAAAGACTTTTTTGATACAATTCGATTCATTCATCTAATATAGTTGCTTTCGATGGCGATTCAAGGAGTATAGCGATCATACAATTTTTCGATATCATTTTTATAGTACTATTCGTCTTTAATCTCAAAATAAGCCTCAGTTTTGACGGTTACCTCTTCATCGGAGCTGAATTTCCCTTCAGCGATCATTCTCTTGAGGTCTGAGAACAGGAAAAAGATCTGGAGAATACGGTGGATGTGAAAGCAATTCGACAACCAACTGAAGCAATTTCGACATCGTATTCATTGATTTTCGACACGGTACATTGTGTTGATGGAACAGCATTCTTTTTTTCTTCAAATGAGGCCGTTTTTCCACGACTTCATGTTGATTCATCTCTTTTCTAGATAGACGATGATATACCACTCGCATCCCAAATTACTGATATCATAACCTTGCCAGCCGACAGATGCGTCTCAGCACGTGCAGTCCACTTAGATGACGATCGTTTTGTTTCTGGTAATGAATTAGAGTTTTTTTTTGTGGTGGATGCTCAGAAGCATCAACTCGTTATTGCTTTTGATCGATTGTGAGCTCGCGTGGCATCCTTTTTGACCAAAGCTTTCGCAAACCCAAATATATTCAGTGCTCCCGTCGTACACCTGCCTCCGCTAACTAACCAAATCAAGGGGAAATATGGTCACAGAAGTGGCTAATTGAGATTCTAAGCTTGGATACTAGTAGCTCCGTCCATCCGGGCCCGACACCTCGAACGTCTGCCTTGGTGCCCTCCAAGGCTAGACTCGGATACTAGTTTCCATTAGATGGACCGCAAGCCCCCACCACCAGAGGTTGTCCGGTGCCTCAGTAAGAGGCTGCAATGCACCCTTGATTGGATCACCGCATCCCGTCCCGTTTGCCCGCTAGTGAAGGCGTTGCCCCTAGGAGGCCAACGCCAATTGGAGATGAGGCTCGCTAACCTCCAGCCGCTAGGGGGCACTTTATCTCCCCCCTAGAACTTATGTTAGGAAAATTCCCTTTCCAACGTTGGATGAGTAACCGTCGAGGAATGTTTTGAGCACCCTCTACTACAGACCTTATGTCGAAGAGGTCGCGGCCATTGACCGTGCGGAATAGGGCGGTTCGCCAACAACTTTTGGGTGTACGCCGTGTGGCCTGCACCGAATACACTTTCGTTACTCCGAAGGGCACTCATGGATGAGTAACCGTCGAGGGCTCTTACATGACACCTCTCCCACACATCTAGCTTGAAACCGGCCAACGCCTGTTGCCATAGCTACCCCGTACGGGGTAGTTCTACCCCTCTTGAATTTAATTTCACCCTCTCGCTCCCCTCAAGTGAATTTACCCCGCTCAGATATTGAAAAAATGAACAAATATTTGAGGTTTGATTTTGAATCTACCGCATTACACGAGCCGAGTACCCTTGGCAACGTTAGCGTAGACTGAGTGTCTGGCACCGCTGACTGCGGTTCCTTGGGTTGTGTCTTACTGTAAGACTCTTACATAGATGGTTCCGATATTCTGTGACTGAGTACTGAGTTACACTACAATGCTCTTCTGCTCTTCCAATGATACCCAGCGCCTTGATCATGCTCTGTGCGTATGAAATGTTATTTGATGTTTGTGACATGACATTCGACATTTTTAGTTAAAATTGAGAACGTAAATCTCAGTCTGTGATGTAAATGTAGTTATATGTATAGTCGAAGTAACCGATATTGTGCACTCGTAAAGTTGACGGCACTCTCAAACGCCAAAAAACCGGCAGCAAACAAATACCCGTGGACTGTAGACTTGGCAGCTCGTATTGGATAATTTTTACTAACCGAGTTTTACAATTGGCTGAAGAGTCATAAAATTGAATTTGAAGTCATGTTACGCTGAAGAATAGAAATCGGGGAATGCGGCCTTTGGTTATTTTATCGCCGTTGTGTTCAGTTCAGGAACTGATCGCGATTTGAGTGTTGAAATTTGGTATTGGTGCAGTTATAATCACTTGAAATTTCTGTTATCTGTTTAAAGTGTGGTGTCCTTGGACAATGCGAATGGTAATAACAAGTGTGATAACAACGCAGATTTTCTCCAGTGTAATGATATCAGTTAATAAGATTCGTGTGCATTTGAATATTGAAACACAGAGAGTATGTTTCAATGTATATGAGAATCTACATCTCAAGTTTGGTTTCGAGAGAAACAAACTATTACAAGCAACATCAGATTTGACCGAAATTCCTTTCTCAACTCTGTACGTAAAATAGTCAAAAACAAACCTTATGAACGCAAGACGCGATGTGATACGGGATTACCAAAAGTTTTAGAGGGGCATCTAATAAAATCATTGAAAAAAGAATATACGACTGTTACAAAAGCAATGAGATTCCTACAACTGAAATCATAAGGAAGAAATTGAATACTTCACCCTTCAGAATTGGATAAAGAAACTAGGATTTAGATTTAAAATGATAAACAAACAAAGCAGCTATGGAAAACAGATGATTAGTGGAATTGTGTAACAAATACTTAGAACAAATAACTAAATATAGTCAAAAACAACGCCAAATTTTCTATGGACTAAACTTGGTATGACACTCTCGACACAATTCGAGCATGTGTATGCCTAACAAGCCTGCAAACAAGGATCGCGACTAATCATTGTGCATAGCGGAGGAAGTAAAGGATGATATCCGAATTCGTTGAAATTAAATGGAAAAAAAACTGAGGTCTATCATAAGAAATGGTAGCTAATATTTTCTAGGAATGGTTTGAAAACACATTGATCCCAAATTTGGATGCGATGACATGTGACTCATTTTTTTATTACGATCGTCAAATTTATCATAGAACAAAGAACGACAATCATAGGTATACGTCAATGCGTCACTGTAATTGGTGTCATCATGTGACGCGGTGTCATCATCAGATGCGGAATTGGGTAGTTGGCCGATGACTTTTTTGAGTGAGTGCCATGTGGTCTGCACCGCGGGCCTGTCAATCTCCAGTGACTCCCCCACTACTCACCCCAACAAATTACTTCGACATCTTTAGGCCTCAGCTATCTCGAATAACTTCATTTTGAGTAGTAGATTACAGCCGGTTCTGGGCCTCCCCCCACCGCGATGACGTATTAATTGCTTTTTTTGTTGTTGTTTAGTAACATCAAGGCGATGTGACCTTGAAGGGTCTGGTGCAGGGATCGTTCAGAATTTTTTTTCGTGTGAGATTTTGTGTGTATGTGTGTGTGTGACATAGTGACGTAATTACATTTGATTGGTGTGTGTGTGTGTGTGTGGGAATGCACGGTACAGGGTTTCATCATGTACTTGTCTTTGTACAAACATACGTCTGCATACTTCGAAGATCCTTCAAGTAATGAATGTTCCATCGGTGTGAGCCCACCAAGTTAGTAGTAGTGTGACGTCACAGCAACAACCGTTCAACGGTAAGAGAGCGAAATGTTCATTCCACGACGTGTTTCTGAATAATGCATATTCATCGGTGTGCCCTCACCTCTCTCGATGTGGTGAGGCTGTGACGTAATGCATCGCTCTAGCCTCGCTATGGATGGTGACACGCAGGCGGCCGAGGACTGTCTGCTCAACGTCTGTCCTCTACGAGAGCGCAACGACCACTGCCTGTTCGTATCGACATCTGTTATTGCATCCAATTGGGAGGTGGGCTTGGCGCATGTAGCTCAGAGGTGGGGTTGGCTATGACGTCTTGATGGGCCCGATCAGACTGTAATTAAAAAGCGGACGAGTGTTAGTTATGTCAGTTTACATCAAGTGAGTTAGTGAGAACATATCATATAAAATGTATTCCTGTGACTGGTAAATCTTTCACTCGTAGTGATAATCTTCGTCGGCATCAACTCCAGAGTTGCCAAGGGGGACCACCGTTGCCACAGATACTCCGATCGGAGTAGATCTACTACTATTGACTATTTTTTACTCCGCTACTCCAAATTATAAAATTCTACTCCATTTTAACAATTACTGGTCGCTTGTGAAATCTCCATAAATGATCATCTTGTATCCTCCCTATATAAAAATGGCATGGACAACATCTAGAAATGATGTACTGCTGCTCTGGCAACACTGCAGTCTGCAGTTTATTGCTCTGTGTTCTGTGTGCACACTGCACTCTGCACTAACTACAACCATATTGATAGACATTTCAAAAGTAAAAGTCATAAATTAAAAAGTAACATTCTGAAAACAACTGCTCAAATCCGGCAATTTGTTGATCTTAAGAAAGCCCATGTAAAAAATTCCGTGAAAGCTGCCGAACTTGAACTTACAGTATTTCTTCATGAACAAAATTTGCCTTTTCTCTTGATTAATCATTTACCAAAGTTGATAGCATCTACATGTCCCGGTTCAAGCATTGCAAAACAATTGGAAATTGGAAGAACAAAGGCTACAAATTTAACCAAAAATCAGTTGAAGAAGCTCTAACAGAACTAAAAGAGCATTTAAATATAAATAAATTATATAGCTTAATAATTGATGAAACTACTGACATCTCAACTAAAAAATCCATGGCTGTCATTATAAGATTTCACGATAATGTTTCTATAAAAGATAGATTTCTAGGGCTGATAGAAGTTGAAAATGGTACTGCCAAGTGTTTGTTTGAAACTGTTTTAAAACTTTTAAAAGATAATAATATAACTATAGAAAATATGACTGGTTTAGGGGCCGATAATTTCTCTGTAATGATGGGTAATAAAGTAGGGGTGCAAACCAAATTTAGAGAAATTAACCCTATAATAATAGTCATGGGTTGCATATGCCATTCATTACATCTATGTGCATCAGCAGCAGCTGTAAAATTGGCCAAGTCGGTAGAAGAATTTTTGAGAAACATCATTAATCACTTCTCAAATAGTACAAGAGAATTGAGGGTTTCAAAGAATACCAGGAATTTTCAAAATTAAAACCTTTGAAACTTTTGAAAACAAGTCAGACAAGGTGGTTATCATTACAGGTATTATATTTTAATTTTGAGGTCTAAGGAAAATCTAAATAGTATTTACTTACAGGCGGCTGTTGAAAGGGTCCTTCAGTCATGAGATGCACTCAAACTATATTTTATAAATGCTGTTTTCACAGATGATTTGAGAATTACGTCCCAAATATTAGAAAACTTGAAAACCCCAATTTATAAAATTTATTTCTCATTTCCTTCATATGCCCTTGGGTATGTTAATACTTTGAACAAAGAATTCCAAAGTGAAACATGTAAAGTGGATGTGTTGCTAATAAGACTGACAGAATTGTACAAAACTTTTCTACGAAATTTCATAGAAATGAAATACTTGGATAAAACACCTATCGATGAGGTAAATGTTGGAAATCCGCATAATTTCCTCAAACTTAAGGAAATGTATTTTGGAGCCAAAGTTAAGCAGATTATTGATAGTGAATCCTTAGATAAAAATTAACTCTCAAAGTTCAGAACTAATGCTCCTGGATTTTATATAGAATTATGTAAACAAATAACAAAACGGATTGATTTCAAAGATCCACTATTATTGTACATTAAAAAATTTTCTCCCTTATGTTGATGTAGAAAACTTAAATTCTGAGTACCGTTTAGTGAGTTCTGTGGCAGATCTTCAAAGTAAAGTACATAAGAACTTTGAAGAATTTTGGAATTCTACAATGGAAATCAAAAATGGTTTAGATGAAATTATGTTTCCCAATTTGCATCAAGTCATTAGAGCCATATTCCACATTCCACATTCTTCGGCAGCAGCTGAGAGAATATTTTCCCAACTTTTATTAATTAAATGTAAGCAGAGAAATCGATTAGAAGTTGACACTTGCGATTCAATAATGCATACAAAATCACTTTTGGGATTGAAGGGAGATTTGTGTTACCAATTTGAACCTTCTGCAAGACTTATTAAAAAAATATCTTAAGTTGTGTTGAAACCAAAATCTTTTCATAAAGTTAGTGCTAAGAAATAGCTATTTACATTATTCCTATTTCTGTTTGAGAGTTTTCCAGAGCATTTACTTGTTTGTATTTGAACTGAAAACGTACTTATTTTTAATGGTAACTGTGATAAATGAAATGATAGACTGTATAATGGACTAATCTGTTTTTAGTAGTAGGATTAAGGAGTTATATTTTTTGTTTTTGTGATGAAAATATTTTTTACATTGTTTATTAAGAAGTTATAATTTTTGTTTTGATATTTAAATTTGTTAAAAATCATTAAATCATTCATTTTGTCTTTAAGCCTTTAACAATTCTGCCTTTTATTTAGACTCGGACAGATTGCTTAAAAATATCCTGCCAAATATTAGTAATGGGAATATTTCGAATACCAAGAATCGACAGTAATCGAATTACTGGAGGTCCTGAAAACTCATGAAAAAAGTGGCGTTTTCTTGACGAGGTTCTAATTCTATAACATTAACAACCTTTTATTGACAGATCAACACGTTCTCGCCTGGCGGGAACGTACCGATCTGTCAACAAAACGGAGAGACTAGTTGTTCTAGAACAAGAACGGCGTCAATAAAGGGCTACTAAAGTATTCGAAAACTTTGGACTGTCATTTGTCATATTTTCAAGGAAAAGGAACTCTAAACAGATTAATTCGTTTTGGAAGATTTGGATTTATTACACTTGATGAAGTCCAAGTGGTTGAAGGTGAAGTCAGACGATTTAATGTAATTAATGAATAATTTGGAATAATCCATCCATATTTACACCCTTTATCATTTGGTCGTCAACTGTCAAATGAACTTGTCATGGCAACACAAAAAAATCGACTATCTTAACTCTACTCGAACGCAAACACTTTCAACAGGCAACAAGCTTTTTGACACTTCTTTAGATTATTGTAAACTTTGACGTCACATTCGATCTGACCAAGAGTGTTGCCGTTCAACTACTTTCCTCACTCATTATTTGTACTTTTTAATAATCATTTTCTCAACAAAAAATGAACTAAATTGAAAAAATGCGACCGGTTACCGAACAACTTTTTTTTCTAAATCTACTACTATTTTTCAATTTCTACTCCAGTTTCATACCCATTTCTGCTACTTTTTCTCAAACGTCTATGGCAACACTGGTTGAGTAGCTATCGCCAGCATGTCAACAACTCAGGAAGCTGATTCCACGACCGAACCCCAGTTGGAACCTCTATCACAACCTAGAGCTCCTGACTACAGGAGTGACAACGACGACAAAACTCATTTGTGAACATATATCAGAAAATGATTATGATAGGGTTAGAAATGTGTGGAATTTATTCGAGTGTCAGAATTTGGGTGAATACTCTGATTTGTATTTGAAGTCGGATGTATTGCTATTATGTGATATTTTTGAAAACTTTCGCACCACAAGTTTGGAGATTTATAACTTAAATCCAGCACATTATTACACTGCACCTGGATTATCTTGGGATGCTATGTTGAAGTATACGAATATTGAATTGGAATTACTAACTGACATTGATATGATTCACTTTTTTCAAAAAGGTATATGAGGTGGAATTAGTCAGTGTAGTGAGAGGAAACATATATCAAATAATAAATTTTTACCAAATTATAATTAAAATGAACCTTCCACACTCATTATATATTTAGATGCAACGAATCTATACGGTTATAGCATGTCACAACCTCTACCAACAAGTGAATTTACATGGTTGACACCTAATGAAATTGTAAAAGAAAATATATTGTTCATTATAGAAATCTACAGCAAGCCATCAAAAGTAGTTTGATTGTAATGAATACCCATAGAGTATTGAAATTCAAACAATCACGTTGGATGAAACCCTGTATAGATCTTAACACTGAAAATGCGTAATAGGTCTAACAACAAATCTATTGAAGATTTCTATAAACTAATGAATAATGCAATATATGGAAAGACAATGGAGGATATAGATAACAGAATTGATGTTACACTCGTTACACATTGAGAAAATATAAAGAAAAATATAGGTGCCAGCACTCTCATATCCAGACCAAATATCAAAAATTGTTCAATTTTCACAGAAAATTTCGTTGCCATTCAATTGGGTAAAGTTAAAGTCCATTATGATAAACCATTATATTTGGGATTTTCTATATTAGAATTATCAATAACAGTCATGTACGACTTTTTTTATGGATGCATCAAACAACAATTTGGTGAAAATGTCTCTTTACTGTACACAGATACCGACTCACTCATTTTGAAAGTAAATACAGAAAATTTTCATGAATTCATGAAAACTAACATAAGTAGTTACATCGAATTACAGTATAGTTAACCAATTCAATATTCCAGTGACAAGTTCAATCTTGGGTAACTTCAAAGACGAATTTCCGAATGATCCAATCATGAGCTTTCATGGTACAGGTGCAAAAGCGTATTATGTGAAATCTGTTGATGGTGAAAGCTAAAGGGGTGAAACGATCGGTTATAAAGAATGAATTGGCATGTGAAGATTACCAAAAATTCGTGGAACATGGTGGTATGATATTCAGAAAGATAAATTCATTTAGAAGCGTGTTGCATGATTTGTATACTGAATTGAAGGATAAAGTTGCATTATCATATCACGACGATAAACGATTTATCATTCCGAATACTACCCACACTCTTCCTTGGGGTCATAATGATATTGAATTTTATCAAAACGATCCCAACGATAACATTCGGTGGATAACTAATATTATTCAAGAATCACAAACTCAGGAGAGTCCACTGGATCAACTAATCAATTTATTGTCTGCCGAGATCAATAATTGAAATTCTATTCCATTCCGGAAAATCCAATATTGATATTCTTGTAGGTATTCATAAATAAAACTGTAATGTGATATTAATGTATTGTGTATGTATATGTATTACTTTCATTAATATAAAAATGATTTGAAGAAATTATTTGTTTTATTTCTATTTTCCTAACCAATTACTGCAAAGTATATAGCATAATGTAAATGAAAGAAATATCAGTTTGAAAAGAATCATCGTAGGGTGCACAATGTCTAAAACGATAGATAAGTTTGATAGAAAAAGAAAATAGGGTAGTAATGTCATTCGAGGTCCTCCCGGGAATGGATTTAAATTAACAAAAGATGGTCATTATGACATGCAAAGAAAAATATTGAAAAATACAAGCGAACCAATTGACAAGAGTGATTGTGTAACTGTATCATATCTTGAGGGGGAAATTAATGGAACAATAGAGGTCATACTTCTAGCCCTACAAGCTGCAATACAACCCACAATTGGTAATGTTGCTCGCGATGCACGTCAAGCATTCGATGATAAAATTGCAGAGGCTCGGATAACTTTGGCTCGTAAATATGATAATCTTAAAAGTGACGTAGAAATGAAAATGGCTGACATAACAGCGTCTACAATGAAAAAATATGACGCTTTGGAACAGAGAGTTGTAGTTTTGGAGAAAAAAACATAAACTCAAGTCATCAGATGGACTGGGATATCCAGGACTGGACATTAATCCAAATGGTAGAATAATAGAACCAAAACCAACAGATGACGTATTATTTGAACGAACATGGTGAATGTATTCCGCGCGTGCTTTCACGCGTTATGTTAGGTTAGGTTAGGTTAGGTTCCTACATACGTTAGGTTATGATAGATTACGTTAGGTTAGGTTACATTAGGTTAGGTTAGGATAGATCAGGTTAGGTTAGGTTACATTATGTTAGGTTACGTTCTTACATACGTTAGGTTAGGTAAGGTTCATGAGGTGGACTAGGTTATCTCTGATATGTAAGGTTAGGACAGGACTGGACATTAATCCAAATGTTAGAATGATAGAGTGAATGCATTCCGCCCGCAAAGCGCGCGTTTATATGGGACCGAAGACCCCGCCTGCTCGAGGCCGGAGGCCCCGCCTACCCGGATGGGGCGGGGAGGCCCTGGCCACTGCCCCGAAGCCCCGCCCACCATCCAGAAGCCCCGCCCACCACCCCACCCTCAACTCCCACCACTTGCGCGTACACCCCCCACCATTGCGCGTGCGCGCCCCCTCCACATTCCCACCACTCGCGCATGCATGCCTATACCCCAAGGAGAGCACTCCTCAACATTCAGTACGACAGCTCAAGTCATCGAGTCAACACTCCAGTCTATTCCAGTCCAGTCCAGTCAACAACCAGATTTTTGAGTAAGTTAAC